AAATATCGAGGCAGCAAACCGTTAACTACTTTAAAAATGAACACCATAGTCAAATATATAATTCTTTGCTTCACCGACAACCATTGTAAGGCGTCTAACATCAAAGTTGAGGAAGTGAATCTATTACATCTCAAAATCAAACGCATTATTTTACTCTGCAAGCGCTGTAATCTCGATATTTGTGTTGCATTCGACAGAAATAAAATGGATGGGCAAAAGTCTAGATGAGGAGAGATGATTGATTTGTATAGCTGTATTTTACTGGCAATAGTTAAATCGTTTTTCAATCGACATAGAATTCCATACTTCTTGGCAATTTTCTTGATGACATTGTCAATGTGAGAGTTGAACTTAAGTGTGTCATCAATAATCACGCCAAGATATTTAATCTCCCGAACGCGATCAATAGTCTCATCATCAATTACAACAGAGACGTTCTCATTTAATCGATTCCGCGAAATTACCATAAATTTAGTTTTACTTGTATTCAATTTTAACTGCTTACACTTCAACCATCTACTTAGATACTGCAAATCTTCATTCAAGTGTGAGACGGCAACTTCTAAATCCTTAGCTGCAATGAATAACACAGTATCATCTGCAAAAAGGTTAATGTCGCAAAACCGTAAAACACGTCGCAAGTCATTAATATACATAATAAATAAAAGGGGCCCTAATACACTTCCCTGGGGCACTCCAAGGTTGTTCCCCACGGGACTGGAAACAGAATCATTAAAAACAGTCCGTTGAGTTCTGTCAGACAAATAGCTTTCAAACCATTTATATGCAGTACTCGTAATTCCAAAGCGCTTGATTGTACTTAACAGTAAGGGCCTAGAAATTGTTTCAAAAGCGCGTTTCAGATCCAAAAAAACAGCAACAATCGTATCTTTACGCTCCAAGTTGTCTTTCCACTTTGCTAACACCAAATTCAATGCAGTTTCACAAGAATGACCTTCCCGATATCCCGATTGTTCTGGTATCAACAAAGAGTTGCTATTCAAATACTCCAACAGCTGGCCTTTAACAACAAGTTCTAAGATTTTCTCTAAAGTGTGCAACATGTTGATGGGACGAAACTCTTCGGCTTTAATCGTTCCAGCAACTTTTTGAATAGGAATCACTAAGGATTCCTTCCAAATTTGTGGCACATGTCCATTCTGCAATGATTCATTAATAAGGTCCAGAAAGATGTGGCCAATGACATGAAAGCAATCTTGAATAACTCTAGCATTAACATTATCTACTCCAGCCGATTTTCCTAATGAAAAACAAATAACTCTAAGTTCATCTAATGTAATTGGGTGAAAAACTTCAAATCTGCAACTACTATTAACTGGCTGTTTTATTTCGTCAGGTTCATCGACCAATTCAATAGATTGATTAATCAATGAAACACTGTCTACGAAATAATCATTAAACTTAGATGCAATTACTTGTTCTGACTGTTCTAATGTGCCATTAAAAGTTATGGACCGCGGTTTGCAATTACTAGGTTTTAATAAAGATTTCAAAATTTTCCATAACTCTTTGCTGTTGTTTTGATGCTGATCAATCTTCCTTTGAACATATTCACAACGAGTTTTCTTTATCGATTGTGAATACTTATTACGCGCGATTGTGTACCTAGTCCAATGATTGTCATTATTAGATCTACAAAACTTTTTGTACCATTTGTCCCTTTTCCGTTTAAGACGCAAAAGATCCAAATTGTACCAGCTGTTCGAGTTTTTCAAAGAAACAAACTTTTGCTCAACTAGTTGATTGGTACACGTTTTCAAAGCGTTATTAAGAACAGCTGTAGATTCATCTAAGTTACCGGCCGCGAATGGAAAATCCAGGCTTCTCTCAACAAGATTTGAAACAGCTTGCTTCGAATATTTCCTCCAGCACTTCAATTTTACAAAATTATCGTTATCGTTAACATGGTCTAAGACATTAATCACTAAAGTCTCATGATCGGTTATTTTCAAATCAGTATCCGTAACTGAACAAATGGAATCAAAATTGGAATAAACGTGGTCAATTAAAGTTCTACTGTGCCTGTAAATACGCGTATATTCATTTACCGTTTGCTTTAAATTAAAAAACTCAGCTACACGCTTCAAATGATTCGAATTATGGTTATCACGCCAATTAATATTAAAATCACCAGCCAATATATTTAATTTACTAGAATCAAGGAATGTCTCGAGCCAGTTCTCTAAAACTTCAACAAAACGCTGGTCACTAGAACTGGGAGAATGATACAAAACACCATAATTACACATCTTCTAGCCACGTACAACTGTAATGCCCAAGAACCAGTTGCCATCAATAACTTCGTTGGTACGAAGGTTGAATTGAACTGATTCTTTGACATAAATAGCAACACCGCCAGTGTGTCTAGAATGTGATAAACAAGCAGCAACAATATATCCCGGAATACTATACTGATCAAAAGCTTCAGTTTCTACAATATGAGTTTCAGATAATAAAACTAAAAGAGGACGTTTTTCCTCAACAATCTGACGTAATGCTACGTAGTTTGTTGACAACCCCGCAATATTCAAGTATAAAAAATCGAATTGATTCACATTCCTGGAACTTGGCTGCTATTTATTGAAACGCAAGCTGCTTTTCTTCTGATCAAAAAGTCTTTTATAGAGCAAACATTCCGAGCTAAATGCGGCATGGTTGACGTCCAAGTTCATTTTTCGTTCTTTATTCATTTTCAAACAATTAATACATTTCAATACAGTTGACGTACACTCCGACGTTTTGTGTTGTTGGCTGCACCTAGAGCATCTATCACAATTTTTGCAATCCATGCTCTTGTGCCCAAATTCTCCACATTTGAAGCATCTCAACACATTAATCTCGGGAACTATCGAGCACCGATCAAACCCTACATTTACCTTTTTTCGCACATAACAAACATTTATAAGTATCGACATCGACTTCAATTACAACACTAAACTTGTTATAAGTGAAGCGTGGATTTTCAAACATGTTCACTACTTTTACATCATTAATAGCGATGTCTTCATTTTGACTTTTTAAGTAGTCAATAAAGACATCGGAGGAAAACTGATCGCTCATGCCCACTATTTTCAATCTTGGCACCGAAGTGGGAACAACAGCACTATATTTTTCACCCAGATTGCTTTCAATACCATTTTTCACATCACTTACGTTTGCTCCTGTTGCACACTCAACAATAATGGAGCCATCTTTACCATTCCTAAAATTACTGATTTTGTGTGTTTTTGGATCCAACTGAGTTTTTAAAAACTTACGAGTATCTTCGCAAGGTTGTTTGGACTCTTTCGGTTTAATCACAATGACTGGACGAGTCTTACGATTTTCTAATTAGAGTCGGATCCTTGCGATAAATGCAAGAGTGGCAACTGTAAAAAAATCGAATACTTCATCATTTCTCAATAGTGATGGAGTAATACGACATGCACTAAACTAAGGACACGGGATATACTACAATAGATCAATTTACTGGTCGCAGTAGTGTTAAGTCCCGAACAGAGAAAAAAAACTGGTAAATGTCCAGCATTATCCAAAAGCTAACAAATCCACCAATTACCTACATGCATATGCTGCTTCCCCAGCACAGTCGTCAGAGAGTAGTAAGTAGACGAAACATATCGAAGTGGCATTCGCCTCCGATCCTCGGCGCGTGCGAATAGGGAGGATGGAATCGCGTAATATTTTGCACACTCATAGCCATATTCAGAACCACACGCAAATTCTTCGAGATAACTCTTGTAATCTTGTAACCAAACATGGAAACAGGGGCTACACTCAAAAAATATATCACATATGTAATGCATGAAATCCATGTCAATTTCACATAGCTTTCCAAAACAAGTTGACGACAACCTAAAAAAATCGTTTATGGACTTTGTCGTTCAGTGTGCTGAAGGTGTGCCGAGAAAATGTGATCCGTGAATAAAAGTACTAATTTATCTGAACAAGCATAGCGAAGAACAATGACGTGAAACAGCCAAATTAGCCAAACAAAGTGTTAAGTGTCTTTCTAAGATTTACCAACTTGTTGAGAGAAGGAGTTTAACGAGAAAAACTAAAAAGGGGAGGAGCTTTAGCTGGGTGGACACTGATATTCTTTGGCCTTCCAACCTGTCGCAGCCACCAGTTCAACCCCTGCCCAATCATTGAACCGAAGAATATGGAATTGTCCGGTCCGATTTTCTGATCCAGCTGCCTATACGTCATCATAATCTTCCAAAGGCTTTAAGCCTATACTACCATTGGCCCTTTTCAGGGCCACCAAGATTTTCCAAAATAGTTACATTTCTGAACAGGTCCCAACTAAAAATCATATCAAAAGGTTCTTTTTAGGGCAATCATAGTCATACCATAGAGGTAACTCTAAGACTAGAAGGTCCCGAAGAAACGTGCTCAACTTTTTGGCTCAGCTCTGGCACTCGTTTCGGTCCCAAGCTAATGGATTCACACCTTGAAACATAGGAAAATCCACTAACCCCTCATTTTATCTGTCAAACTTTCATAGCAAATCAAAACCACACATAGTGTAGTACTAGAATTTCAACTGGCATGGGGTACGTTAATCGTTTGCTTGGAACCAATAGGCTAGTCAAGTAGTGAGCCAATTTAAAATCGTTAGTTTCCATCGGTTGGTATTACTGTTGCGTCTTTTCAGAAGCATATGGGAGTTCGGGAAGTGGACCATATTGTTAATTTATAATATCCAACGAGTGCAGTTCATTTTAGGCGAATTTGTTAAAACGATTATAATCCCCCCCAGAGGGTGTGGTTGGAAACAACTACCCACCGCCTTCATTCGTCTATTTTCTAACCAATCAAGCTGATTTTTTGTACGTGATTAGTGCTGACCCTGGAGGGTAGAACTTGTTACCGGGGAACTGCTTCTCGGGGGATTACAGTTATAATAATTCCATCAGCCCTTCGTCTAAAGCGACCACATACTGAACGGTCAAGTTTGACACCGGGATAATCCTACTCACCTTGGAATTAGGCCTTTGGCCAGCTCCCAGAACGGGATCTTGTGTGACTTGGTGCCGCCCATCGTGACCATTAGGATGTCGGCAGCCGAACAGAGCGATGACAGCGTCACCAGAGTCCATAACGAGACTATCCGCATGGTCCTTCCGGTGGTTTATCTGATGTGGGATTATCTGTTGGTAAAACGGAGAAAGGTAGCAAAAAATAAACTCATCAGTCTCACAGTGTGGTTTTGCGGCATAGGTGATTATGGAAGGATAATCTTAGGGAGTGTGTGTTTTTTCCCTGTCACCGGTGTCGTTTGTTTGTATGTGAAAAATCTCGTTTCAAGGACGTTGTTGGGTAATGCTGCTGCAACACGTGAAGGGACATTCCAGTTGACAAGTTTGAGTTGGACTTGACTTTCAGTAGAATTATAACCAGAGAGGATGGTCGGTTTGTCCCCTGCCATATGTCGCCACCACAAACGATGGCAATGGCAATGGGAAATTGCAACGTGCGTGCTTTCGAACAGTGAATTCTGACTTCTGATTGTGTTAGTACGAACAGGTCAAGTGGTTTTGAAAACTAACTGGGATGTGAATGTAGATTCGTAAATACTGGGTTCGTCAAAGTTGTTTGAGGCAAGAAGGAATCAGTCCAACTTCTGGCCCTCGCTTACCAAAGTTTGCTACAAAGTGGTCGTTTACGATGCTGAAGCATACTCTGGTTGTGAATGCACCTAAAATTTTTTTTTTAAACATTCTATACATTTATACTGAGGGAACAGATGTGTGATACAATGTTTCAGATTTCTGCAATGAAAATAATCCTTTGGGTGAAAATGGTAGCAAGCAGCAGTTTGAGTGGTTTGGAAGGAGGAAAAGTGCAAAGTGATTCTTGGTACAAGATGGTTGGTTACGGAATGGTCACGTTTCGAAAGATTCTTTTCTTTCTTTCGTTCGCTTGGTCCTAATAGGAGTATGTTTATTTGTATACATTCCTCTAGAACAGAAAAGAATGTTGCATCATTTTAGGACATTCATTTGACATGACATCAACATAGCTATGTCTTTTTTGGCAAATATTATAAAGCACGAAAGATAAAGGAGCTTGCACTAATTGCCATCACTTACGACTTCATTTTCACAACCTATTAGCCGAATCCATTGTGAATTTATGAATATTCATTTTAAAACGCCCGCAATTCATCATTATCCGTACCTCGATTTGATCACCGCCGTTTCCAGCTATTTTCCGTTTTAATTGCTCTTCGTTTTAGCTCATCAAGCGCTGCCCTTTCATCCTTTTCCACTTGACAAAGAAAATACCCACTCGGATTCCGACCACGATCCTAATGAACGCCTTCGCTACCGGGAGCACAGCGAAGCCTAACTGACCGACTGACTGTCAACTTCTAATTAATCCGCCATCGTCGTCGCCGTGACCCGTTTCGGTCATTCATCAACCCCTGGCACTGCACAGAATTGTTCCTTTATATTCCTTTTCGCTTTCAATAGGCACACTGATCCTTCTGGTCACGTTTGCTCTGGAAGAGAATGGAGCCACGTGATGTTCGAACGTAATGCAAACTTTGTTTTATTTTTAGGAGAACTGTTCCTAATGACCTTGAACTGATACGGGTATATCTCGATTGTAAGCACACGAAACTTTGCACTTCCATCGTACGCGATTGATTTGTCATTTGCGGGATATCGGCGACGTAGAAGCCAAGTGTCGTGTGATTAAAATCGAGCTGTACCTGTAATTGTTTTCTAATATCTTGAAGTTGAAGTTCAAAAAATTAGCTCCAACCAATTTATGATTCACTCTGACTATGGATGAATCGAGCCACTGACTGATCTCTGCATACCGGTTCGATTCCAAACGCACCTTGGTCTAGTTCTAGTTCCCGCAGGAACCGGTTGGAACCATTCTCAAACATTGCTAGCGTTCAGTTTCATAATGGTCTAAATCGGTCACCTACTATCCTCGCATCATCTTTTGTCGACGAAAGCAGATTCTCCACGTTCGATTTCTTTAGTTCCGCATTAACAGATTCGAAGCAAGACCGGCACACAGAAGATGTTTACATTCATCGATATTGGGAAACTGGTTTGAGAGATGCACGCTTGTATGGCGGCATGCATGAGAATGCAGTTTTGACGGGAATGCTATGTTGACTGATACATTATTCTTTCCTCTTTGGTGAATCATTCTCGAATGTTGAGATAGGTTTTCTAAATTGTAACTGCACTGGTTCGGTTTTGGGGCACGGTAATAGACGGTCCCTGCTGCAGAGCACAGTGGTTCAGAATGGGAATTTAGGAGAAAAGAAGCATTTAGAGTCTATTGAAACATTAGAAAAAAAGTTAAGGGTTACGTCGCATTGTTGACGTAGAACTACGAGTTTGTTTTTGATGCTTCATTCACTAATATATTAATAACAAAATAAATGGTTTAGAAACATAATTCCAAAATGAACAATTCATTATTCAAATTTTTGAAATTGGGTGGTTATTGAATAAACCCCAAAATAAGGATTACCTTTGGCCGCTTTCTTTTTGACTCGACACAATCGAACGAATTCGGCAACGGTCCGCGTCTGTTTCGCATGTTTCCCTGCCTCCTGGTCTCTCACGCGCTTCCGATAATATTGAAGATATTTAGCCGCCATGTTGAGAATTTTTTAATTTTTTTACAGAATTTCTATATAAACACTTGTTTCACTTCGAATATTGACTTTATCCAACGCGGAGTGTAAACACTGAAGCACTTACTGCACTGATTGGAATATACAGAGAATTCTACAATGCATAGTTACGATGGTGTTTCAATGTGATGTCTGTGTGTGGGAAACTATCACAAAATGAAATATTGATTGACTTTTTTTTTGCACACGCCGGTAAGCTACACAGACTCCTCCCATCAGGAGTCGTTTACTATCAAGTAGTGACACTGTTATTTTGCGTAGTTTGCCAAAGCACAATTAACGAGAATCGATCAAAATCACTTGCACCCCTGCTTCCAAGTTTGGTTACAAGATTACAACTCTGGAGATAATTTGGTGTGATTGTTAGGGGGCGTGTGGTTCTGAATATGGACAAACAGGCACAGATAAATGCTATTCCAACTCGGTAAGCTTGTTGGCTCTGAAAAGAGCCGTTTTGTTGCCAAAGTTGGTGATGATTTAACCTCCGAAACCGTACGCCTGTTGCTTCAAAGTGTAGACGACATCCAAGGCCGCTTACGCTTGGTGTGTTCAGAGTAGGTGACAGCATCACGGATCACATTTTCCAGGAACACCTTCAGCACACCTCGTGTTTTCTCGTAGATCAGACCGCAGATACGTTTGACACCGCCACGGCGAGCCAGACAACGGATGGTGGGTATCACGAAGAACCAAGACCTTTTCCTCCTTTGCCACTACCAGTCATTGTTGCTTGTTGAGTAGAAGAGTGGACTACCTAACCTGCCACCATCTTCCTACTGCTGCTATTGATGCCTGCCGTTTGCAGCGAAAATGAGTTGAGGCTAGACAGCAGCGCTCTTTTATATCTTTTCAGGTTAAAGCAGAGTGATGTGCACCCAAGTGGTACTAGATTATGACGACTGGGTTTGGGAAGAATGTTTATTTCATGAAAACAGTGATAAATTATCGCTTTTTATTTGTACATTGGACAATGCTTGACATTACCACTTTTTCAATAGTTTATTGTTAAAAATCATAAATTAAAAGCATTGTTATTGATGCGTAAAAATATTTCTGATTGATTGGTGATGAAATTATTGAAATTGGTTCAGGGGCTGCTGAGTTATTAAAGTTCAAAATCTTTCATAATTTTGTTACATGTTCCATTTTCGGTTTTCACAAAGTGTACCCAATCACAGACGTAGTCCTACGTCAAAAGTGTCTTGTACAAAATTGTTCCCAACAGTTAAGGTGAAGTGACCTAGTGAGTGAATGAAAATTTCAATAATGGTTTTCTCTGAGACATCGTTTCAGATTTAAAAAAAGTCCTCGTCGCTGTTCTCCTTTTACTATTTCGCACCAAACGACGATAGCTTTCTCCAATGTGATGTTATGTCTCATAGCAAACCTTGTTGGACATTTTTATTTATTCACTGGGTCAAATTCACCTTAAGCCCTTAATTTTGGTGTCAATTAATACTAGGGTGATTCTTACTAAGATTGAAAAAAAAAATATTTTCAGAAATAAAAGTGTATAATTTCAAGCAACTTTAATTAATAAAACTTTGTTGTATCTCTTGAATAAACCGATTTAGAGCAATTTTTCTCAATTATCTTACGGTTATCTAAAAAAAAACAGTTGTTTTGCTCTATTTATTTTATCTCAAATTTCTCAACAAATCTGTCTGGAGACAACTTTTAAAATTTTTGAGGACGATTTTTTTGCGTTGATAGATCAGAACTCACGAACCGTAATGCATTACTGGTGTAACATCTACCACCGAACCCTAGTCCTATTTTTTATAATGCATTTATTTTTCCAGGCTCATTTGCTGTAGCTTTGCGGAGCCGATATTCAGTGTTTGGATTACAAACTTACTCGAAACTAACGTTAGTAAAGCGGGGGCCGATTACTCGCGGCTATCTCGAGGTTAGGGGTAACAAATTGTAACAATTGTATGTCAGGGAAGGGATTGAGAACACAGGGTTTGGAGAGCAATGTGCTTTTTATCTCGAACTAAGCGACCAACTGATGAAAAAGACAAACATGGGGGTACACCGATGGGGAGCTAACAACTTGGGAGAACACAAGATGACACTAACTACTAAATCCTCAGATCGATCCGTTTTAAAATCTAATCTAATCTAATCTAATACAAACGAAGCCAGTACGAGAAAGCATCTTGGAAAATGATTAGATTAGATGAGGTCTAATCATTTTTCTTGTCGAATTGATGTTTACAGCATATCTGAGATATGATATAAACATCAATACGGGCAGGCCTACTGCGTTGTATTTGTCGCAAAGATGATTGGTGGAAGGATACTTTTTGATTCACCGATTTGTTTGCACTTTCCCTTCTGTTCTGTGATTCCGTGCTTCACGCGGCATTTTCCTTCCGTAGATCGTCCTTGGTCGGTTTTGAACTTTTCTTTAGTTTGTCCTGATTATAGCACTTTTTGCTCGTTTTCACGCTGTTAAAACGACGATAATCAGATTCA